CTCTCTTTGACTCGGGGTTCCGTCTTCAGCACCCTTCCCTCGTGATTCGGCTTTTTTTTTTTTTCATCTTTTCACTCGAATACTAACACCACCACCACCAGTCAGCAGCTGCACCGGAGTCAAACCGTGGGTGCGGCCGCGTGTCAGCTTTTGGTCGACGTCTGTGGTTCAAATAATCGTCCTGTGATTGTCAAAACTCTGCGTGCTGTGGTCCTGCGGCGCGGCGTGGCGCGGCGCGGCGTGTGGCTAATGGCTTTATCTGCTACAGAGAACAAATTCACCAGGTTAGAAAGTAAAGGCTCGACGCCTTGGCTTCCCTGGCTTCTCGTTAGGGGTCACATGACCACAACATGAGCACTTCCTGTCTTGTGTCTGCACAGCAAAGAAGACGGCGCGGCCGCGGCTGTTAGCTCAGCTGGGCCGAGGGTTAAAGAAAACACGGGGGGCGGGGGCTGTTCTGTGGTCCAGGCCAAAGATCAGATGAACGACAACCTGTTTCTTCATTTGACCTTTGACCTTCACATCCTGTCCCCTGATAGGACGGCAGAAGTCGGGTCAAATGTGACCAAAGCCGCTCGTTGACCTACAGTGACTTAGTGGATTTTCTGGGGCTGTGACCTTTGACCTGTTGGATCTATGTCGTTTACTGCACAGACACAAACCTCCTCCCCCTCGTCCTCCCCCCTCCCCCCTCCTCCCTCTCCTCGTCAGAACCTTTCCTTTTGGCTGTTGTCAGCTACGATTTGATCCGGCTAAGCTAACCACCCGGCTAAGCTAACCACCCTGTCTACGCCGCCTCGACCTCCCACTCCTCGCTGTGTTTCTCTCTAAGGTGCTGTTATTCAAATACAAAACAGTTATAAAATAGTACAAATCCAAAAAGGAATAAAGTCAAAATAAGAGAAAACTCACACAAGAGAACAAAAAAAAAAAAGTCATCTACATTACAAGAGGGTAAAAAGTGGGGAATCAATCGATAGCTGCTGTTTAGAGTGGAGTCGAACTGTCGGTGATGAAGATGATGAAGATGATGGTGATGATCACGAGCTGCTTCTTCAGCCTGTGCTCCAGGTTTGGACCTAATCAGAAGAGAGAGAGAGTTCTCTGGGCTTTTCTGGGTTTAAACTATGAGAACACAACACCACCACCTACTGGTTTGATCAAAGATTTGCGTGTGTGTTTGTTGAGATGGGGTCATGGCACGAATAGCTGCGCACGTGTGTGTGTGTGTGGTTTGGGACAAATGTAAGAATAGGTGGAGGCCAATGATTGGTCAAAGAGAATGAAGGGGGGGTGGAGGGTCGGGGGGGGGGCACCTAAAGGCTTCTTGTACCTTAGATTCTTTTTCGTCTTTTGACTGGCAGGGCAGCTGACCGCCCACGCCGGGTAAATAGTGCACATCGATAAAAGATTAGTGTTAATTGATTGGGTTTGTAGTGCAACTCTTAAATCGAGAAATGTTTTGGCATGGTCTCTCTCTGGTTAGTAGTAAGGTAAAAAGGGGGCGCTATAGAGTCAATGGTCATTGACAGAGAGAGAAAAAGATAAGAGAAAGAAACAGAGAAAAAAAAAAAAGTTGGTCAATTTGATTCTGCGTCAGGTGGCGACGCCACATCGTGGGCGTGGACCGAAGCTGTCGTGGAAAAAAAAAAAAAATCAAATTTTGTCTCTGACTCGACTGTGGCTTTGTGTCGTTGGGTTAAATGTTGTCATTTGGATTTTTGTTTTTTTCTTCTATTCATTGGACACTTGATTTTCTTGGCTGTCGGTTGGTTGGTCGGTGGGTCGGTCGGTTGGCCGGTGGTTACACGACGTGTCCTCACGTGGTTGGAGAAGATGGCTGCTCTCTCGTCCTCCTGCGTCGCTGCTGTGTTCTGCTGGTTCGGTGTTTTGTTTTGTTTTTTTCCTCAGGAGAGATGCCTGCTTGTTATTTCCGTTTGTCCCCCTGCTCCGTCCTCCGTCCTGGCATCCATCCATCCATCCATCCATCCCCTCGTCCGTCCGTTCGTCTTTCATCTTTCCGTCCGTCTTTTCTAAAAACGAGTCCTCCTCCGACTGGCTGACAGAGTCCGGAGTTCCTCTGAAAGTGTCATGCTGCTGTGGGTTCCCGTCTTGTTGTGTTCTGTGATCAGGTGAGACGTCACTGTTGGGAGGTGGGGGGGGGGGGGGGGGCGGGGGTGTCGGGCGCTGGGTGGGTTTGGAGGACGTTTGCTTTTTCCAATTGTAAAGAAGAAAGAATTCTACTGGTTGGTTTTTATACAGATCTTGTCAGAGGAACCAAGACTGGAAAAGAAAAAAACAGAACGGATTAATGACTTCATTTGAACTGACTCGTCACCATATTCATCAGAGGTTCAACCACTGGGGCTTGGACCTGGTCATGGACATGTGTCCTTTGATATTGGGCCACAGATAATAAACCAGTGACGTGTTATTTTTATGATGCCACGCTGCGTTTGTTCTCTGCTCACTTTCTGTTCTTTTAACTGTTTAATCCTTCACAGACAGAGACCAGAGCCGTTCACACTCTGTTCACACTCCGTTCACAACAACATTCACGTCCACTACGTTTGTGTCATTTGTCATTAGGAGTTCACATGGTCTGTCATAAAGTTCTGTCTTCAACAGCAGCGGCGGTGGCGGTGGCGGTGGCGGCAGCGGGAGAGCAGTCTGCCTCCCTCTTTGTCACTTTTGCCATCTTCATGTTGGGTTTCTCCCTCACAGCGTGAGCAGGGGGCAGCAGAGGGTCAGCGCCCCTGTTGTTGGCTGCCCCGTTTGGCCTGCAGTGTGTCGGCCGTGCACGGCCACCGTGCCAACATTCTACAAGTCGAGCCTTGGAAACTACTGTGAGCCTCCAGGGGAGAAGCCTTTTGTGTTGTTGGATTCTAACAGGTCGTATGAATGCCCTCCTGCCCCCCCCGCCCCTCTGTTCCCCCCCTCCCTTCTGCCTCCTGCCCATCTCAGCTAGCCTACTCCCCTGGGCACTGTCCCAGCATGCCGAGGGCATTGTAACTTCTCCCTTCTTATTTACTTTCGCTGTCTCTCCTTCTGTTGTGTGCTGTTACACACACACACACACACTCACACACACACACACACAGACAGAACCCATCTATCTCCCGTGAACACTCCCACTAAACCCTTGGCAGCAGACAGTGACCAGCCTCTTTTCTTCTTGCCCCCCTCAAGAGCAGCTCCTTCTCAAATTCAAGATCAACTGGCTATGACATCATGTCTGGTTGCCATGGTAACCAGACGGCCGATACGTGACTTTTAAAAGGTCGGAAACTCTTGACACCCTCTCCCCTCTCACTGTCTCACTCCTATCTGGTTCACCTCTGGCTGCAGCAGCCAACAGTGGCCACAGGAGGGCGCGCGGAGCCCACTAATGTCAGCTCCTTTGTTCAGTCTGTCATTTCTCTGAGCGGATCTTTCATTTTCAGGGTCGTTTTTTTTTGACAGACACATGTGAACTATTAGTGACGTGTTTGGAAGAAGTCCAACCTGTGATCAGACACGATGTTCCACCGGGAACCAAAGACACGGACGAGGCCCAAATACGTGGATCCTCCGGTTCACGAGTTTTCATTTTCACTTTTTTGTTCGTACAGTTTTTGTTTTTTGTTCAGGATTATTCTGGAGTTTCCCACCGAGCCCAGAACTCTGGCTTGAGAAAGACCCAGTTCTAAAATGAAGTGATTATTTTCAGGCTTTTATAAAACCATGTGACATCACCAGGATGAAGAAACTTCAGGACACAGGGCAATACTGACTTTACGTCAGCTTTTATTGCCCCAATCTGCCCCTGGCCGCACCGTAACTCCCATCAGCACGAATTGAAAAGTAATCTGATGGCATTTCATTTGATGTAAGGAAAATAATGGCCATATTTTGGCGGTGACGTGTTCAGTAATCATGTAGGATGACCACGTGGGTCTGAGTATGAACCCCCACCATAAATACTGGGTGAATTTAAATAAAAAGGTTGCTAAGTTATATGGAATAAGAAGTTTAATGAGGAACAGCAGTGGAGGGAAATGGAAAGGGAGGAAAAGTGAGAGAAGTGAAGGCGGGGAGGGAGGGGGGGGGGGGATCAGCAGAGCAGTTTTAGATGGTTTCCATGTGTGGAGGAGTTGAGCTGGCTCCGGGCGGGTGTGGTTGGACACTAATGAGAAAAGTACTGGTGGTAATGGAGGAGGCAGAGAGCAGTGGAGGGAAGGAATTAGAAAAAAAAGGTGGAAGAAGGAGAAGGTTACAGCAGAGGGAGAGGGGGAGAGAGGGGGAGAGAGGGGGAGGCAGCAAGGAAAGGAACTGAGAACTTGTCAGGGGAAAGTACCACAGCCTGAAGGCTTGGCTCCACATTTGCCAAATAAACAGTTGGTGAACCACAGGTAGAGTGAAATACAGATGCAGAAACACACACACGTTAATGGCTCACTGTGGGATAATGTGAGAGAAGAGGTGAGAGAAACTCAGCAGGAGTGGGAGGGGCCGGGGGAGGGGTGGAGGGGGGCGACACACACCATTGTTTACCTTCCACCGAGTTAAGGGAGGAAAAAAAAAAAAACCTCCTACCTGTGTCTGCTGCGGGATGTTCAGAAAGTTGTTGTCCCGTGATCCGATGCCGACAAACCTGTTGGGAGCTGTGGCGCCTGGCGTGGAGTATGCTACAGAAACACAAGGAGCAACGGGGACGTCAGAAAAAACAAGCAGAGTTCAGCAAAGGGCAGGTTCTGTTAGCTGCACTGACACTAGGACAAGCTAGGCTAAGAAAAGAAAAGCTAAGCTAAGCTAGGTTACGATGACTATCTAGCAAAAATTAACAGTTGCAAAAATTAGAGCAAGCATCAATATTTATAAAAAAGTCTTTAATTTTTCCCTGAACTGAAAGAACTTTTGGAGGAAGTGGATTTCAGTCTTCAGCTGTGAGTTCTACGATGGGAACAACACGACTGCAGAAAAGTTCAGACTTTAAAAATATGAATTTTTTTTTTCGTACCCTGCTTTTGATCCTTAACTAAACAAGAAAAAAAAAAAGTTAGCGTCTTCCCAAAGATCTCAACATCAGTCGATTCTGTCTTTAAGGAGCAAATAAATCAACATTTCTAGGTCATGAAAACATGGGGAGTAAACTTGGGACCCTCGGACTGGTTCAGTCCTGTTGACAAACTCAGCTGGGGAGGGGGTGAGGGAGGAGTGTGGGGGAGTTAGGGGGGTGAACACAGCAGAGTCCTGATACTGAAGACCAGGCAGGGACTTTTAAAAACCCCAGTGGCATCAAAGTGACAAATTTAGGGCAGTTTAAGATACCCTAGATCTGGACTCACCGTGGGACTGGGACTACAGACGTCAGTGTGGGAGTTAGAGTGGTGTTGGTGTGGAAGGAGCAGAGAAGGGAGCAGAAGAGCAGGGAGAGACAGGTTTATGTGTGTTTCTAGGACTGGAATAACATACATAAGACATAGAAGACTCTGAGACGCCGACTGGGGGTAAAATGAAAACACTACATCTGAAGGAAAACACACCGAGAAGAGCGCCATCCAGTGCCCCTTCATCACCGGTAAGACTTAAAGAAAGATCAAGAAACTCCAACAGGTGCTCTGACTACAAACACACAGACAGAGGCCAACCTCAAAAAAAAAAAAAATCAATTAGCTTAAATCTATCTAACATGACCAGACAGAGTCCAGGTAAATCAACTGCCGTAAATTTGTGCCCTTCCCAGGTCGGAGTTCAATTTTGACCTTTTTTTTTTCTTGATTATTTTGTTTGTGAATCCAGTCGGAGAAAAACTGAGATTTTATGTCGCTGCACCTTCCATTCCAAAGCGGAGTCTGACGGGGCCCAGTACAGAACCCTGATGAACCCCAGTGGAGACTAACGGGACAGACACTGCTCTACTGAAACTCCACTGCACTGCAGGCCTCCAGAGGTGAACGGCGATGGGATGTCGGGAAACACAAGGACAATAACGGCACAAAGTTGGAGGGGCAACAATGGCAGGTGGGGGGGGGGGGGTCTTTCTTTGGAGAGGATGTTCAAATTTTTTGTTGTGGGTCAGATTTTGAGAACGGTCTCTGTGGCGTCACTTACACGGAGATGCGGGCGAGGAGAGTCCGCCGTCAGGGGGTGTGCTGTTGGGTTTAGAGTCGGGCATTGGGAGGGGCACTGGGCGGGCCACTGGGGGAGGTGGAGGCAGCAAGAAGGAGCCTGGCATTTTGCTCTGGCCGCTCCCGTTTGGCTGCAGACAATACAAAAAGGGTCAGGGTGGCGACATGCGACAGTCCGCAGACACGGGATGGAAAAAAAAAAAAGGAGGGAGGATCTTGGGAGGCCGAGCCCCAAAAAATATCCATGACGAAAGGGGGGGGTAATGGTAAAAGTAAGGAAAAGGCGGTGGTGGAGTACAAACAGCAAAAAAAATGAGATATGTGGACGGCGTCGTTCATGGAGGTGTGGAAAATAATAATCACCACAAGGGTTGATAGGAGCGAGAACGGGGGGTAACAAGGTCCACATGGGTGATCCGTGGTGGGTGGAGGAGGTGTGGAGAAGGGGGGGGGATCAAATCATTGATTGGTTTCATCCAAAATATGGCAAGAAATCAAAACCATGGGAAATACTCGTAAACACAAGCACAACAACCAACCAACCAACACGACCGGCACCAAACTCCAAACCAAAACAACGAGAGCAGG